GTTTGTATGAGTCCGTGATTGTCTGACCTAATTTTGAATTATTTTATAAAATACTAGTTGTACTGTATTTTAGAAAATAATTCAAAAATACTGCCGCTGTCTGCGGGAATATAGTTAAGAGGAAAACTAATACATTACCCTGTAATTGCAATATTATTTATGATTCAAATAAAACAGAGCATAAAGAAAATTTGCCTAGGCAACTGAAATAAGTGAGACATATTTTTTTTAATGAACGATAATGTTATAGTACCCGATGGTTTTCAGGAGAAACCGCGTACAGGTTGACCCAATATGATACATTCATAGCAATGGGTCATTAGTCCACCTTATTAACAATTCCTTTACTCCATGAGACATTGTTACCCATGTATACGAAATTATCAATGCGATCACACCCCTGGTGTTTCAGGCGTCCAAAGACTATGGTAACTATTTACCATCCGATAGTACGTTTGATGAAATCTGTCTTGGTAAAATTCTGATGTAAGCATATTCACAGCTCCAATCCCGAATACTGTGGAACTAATCATAACACTAAGATTCCGTCATCTTATTTTTTGTTGGGGCTTTTGAACTATTGTTAGGTGCTAAGACCTGTAATATTGCGACAGGCATAGATCTTATGTGCTCTCCCTTTTTCAAAGTTCGCTACTGAGACCCGTGAGGGAAAATTGCTTACGTCATCGTTACATCACATGTTTGACATTACACCGGTGACTGATGCAAAAGTGACAACAGTGCAACTGCAAGCATGGTGGTCGGCAGGCTGCGCTGTGCATAACTATGTTTTTGATGACACAGAATTACGTATGGAAATGGCTGCTATTTTCAATATATAACTTAACTAAAGAAATGTCTATAGGTATTATGTAATTGCTAAGAAATCCGAATTATAACAAATTAAGATGTTACAAACCGTATATATATATAAAATACATAAATGTCTATTTTATCCAACTAAATATATCTACTCGAACCATTATTATTCGGACACAAATATTGTCTTTGCCGCCATTTTAATTCAAGATGACTTTATACAAATTATGCTAAAATAGCAGTCGGTATAAATATTTAAATGCCAACAAAGTAAATAAAAGTAATAGCATTTTCATCTTTAAAATTTAACACTCTCAACAAAGCGAAGTGAGAGTTCAACAAACATCCGTCCAGCGGTGTTGTTTCGACATACCTACTCGTATATTGTCCAAAATAATATTTGATCAATAGCACTTTCTTTGTTAAAAATAAAAAAATAATATATTATATTAATATAATTGTACCTAATAATAACCATACCCATATTTTAACTAGGTATATAGGTTAGGTCACAAAGATATTGAGTCTATGTTACAACCTGAAATGGTTGTAAACAAATCTAGAATAGGTGCATATAAAAATTGTTTAACGAAACTTTCTAAATAAATCTATGCAACCAATTACTCGCAAATACTAATTAAATTCGTATAACAGATTAAAAAAAAATAGTTCCTATGACGCAAACCTGGGTTACGTTATCATAACCATAGACTATACTTTTTTAAAGTATAAGGCAAATGTTAGGCGACTGCCCCGCATGAATACTCTTTTACAGAGCAAAACACGTAGTATACTAATGGACACGGCTTATATAATTCTGCCTGATGGAACAGCGCCGGGTACAATTTTGTTTCTAAATCATCCAGGAACCTATTGAAAATGCACACAAAATGATAACCAGCTTGGTCCAGCCATTTAGACGGAATTAGGTGATAAACACAGATATAGAAGATTTAATAGAAACGGAATATTATGCTATAAAATATTAGATACAAAAGTATATCAATAAGCTTGTATCAGCGTTATATGGCTATCACGTCGGGGTCACCAGTGTGGTAAGTATGGCGTGTTGATAACAGAAGGAGTGATATTAATAAAACATTTAATAAATTACGGTATATATAATATTAGAATTAAAATAACAAATAATAATTAATGTAACATCTTTTTAAATCAGTAATTTGCAAGCGAATCTATTTGACATTTTTCACAATACGTTTTTAGTAAATGTATCTGTGTTATATGGCTATTGGAATGCAAGGAGGTTGTTGTCTACAAACTAGATAAATCTAATCGCCTGACTTTTCCTGGCGGAATGGTGGCTGGTGGTGCAATAAACAAGTGAAGTAAACAGCAAAAAGTAATTACGCGCTGACCATTATTATTGTTATTGCTATAGATGAATTTCATGATTATTTCCCATTGTTGTCATTCAATAAGTCTCAGTTGCAGAAGCGGCTCACTCACAATACAGTGATTTGCAAACAAGAAATTCTTGCAATCGGAGATTATGAGAGGTCTTTATGAAAACAACGAGCTGAATGTAAGAAAATTAACAATTGAATTATGTAAGATCACTTCTTGTATAAATCAATCTGTTTCCTATAGTACCTATTGTAAACTAGGCTATAAAATTTTATTTACAGCACGCTTGTTTTATCTAATCAATGAAAGAAATTTATTAAGTATTTATTACATCAGCAGTGTAATAGATGGAACATAATTTTATTAAATTATTTTATTATTATTAATAATAAAATTAATTTAATTATTAAGTGTACAATTTAATGAAAACATGGTACTTTCATGATTCATACCTAATTATTTAGTGGCATATTAAAAATACTCAGAAATTATATTATTGTAGATTTATTTAGGTATAATATTTGTATTTTTAAATAGGTGTGTTCTGTAATTTCACCTACCATTTAATTTAACAAAAATGACAGCTATCCACTCCCCGGGCCCATCGTATCGCAGCGCATTACCCACACGAGTTATTATTTTTGTTTAGCTTTTAAGAAATTATGCGTGTTATATAATGCCTTATAATCTTCTTCAAGTATTAAGGTATTACGTGCATTTTTTTTCAAATCCGATATACAAAGATTAGTTTGTTTAAACAAAATCTTCAGCTTACGTGCTAGTACTCGTATAAATGTTTGACGCAATTGCTCATGTAATTAGCAATTACACTGAGCAAGTAATCACTACGTTTTATGTAATTGCCTAATCGGTAATTAACCAAAGACAATTATTGGTTCGTGTATAATTATAATACTAATTTGAAAAATGATTCCAAATTTAAAAAATCAAAACGTCCCAGCTTGCTTGCAAGTATAGAACAAAATGTTTTTATTAATAATAAAATAATGCATTAATTTTTGTTCTAATGTCCAAACATGTCAATCTACCAGTGATTTACTTTCCACAACACATTTTGTTATGTTTGTTGTCTAAACTTAATGGTTGACGTAGCCCATAGACGTTCATGCAAAACAGCTATTGTTTGCCGGACCAAGTGAATGACCGTTACGTAAAATCCGTCTTGGCCTTGGTACTGATACATTTTAGACGAGCTATTTAGTAAAACCGTTAAATTGATTTGTGACGATAATCCCATACCCGTTTTCAAGGTTGTATCTTTAACTGTACAGACGTGAGGTCGTTTTGTGCGTATTATAGTATTTACGAATCCATCTGTATAAGATCGATTCGTAAATACTAAGATGTGATTTGTTTGGTAAAATAAGTATTTATGAATAATAGTATAGGTTTGATTCTTTTAAAGACTTACAATGAAATGGCGATATATTGGATGCTGATACAAGGTTTTTTAAGGGATGATAATCGAATGGTGCTCTAGCCTGCACTAACAGTATACGCTGGCGGGGCACCAGTGGAGAATGATAAGATGAGTATGAGGTCAAGTCAGTTAGGTTATTTTGAAAAATTCACCAGGAATTTAGCATGACAGTTTTCAGGAGACACCGCGTGAAGGTCAATCTGATATGGGAATATTAATCCATGTTGTCAATGATCTACTTCCCCCCGATAGGATGGGGTTGAAATCAGTTAGCCTATTGTGATGAATTCGACAGAAATTAACAGCGATGTTTTCCAGAGGGACCGTGTGAGGTCGAATGGGGTCACCACTTCCTATTAACAATCCTTTCCGTGATGACGTAGTAAGAATTAAAAACCCCTATTCGTATCACCATGTATTTTATTATCATCCATGTCGTAATATCTTCTATTTATTTTAATGGACTAATAAAAGAATAGTGCATCCGCCTACGCTAACGGTATACGCTGGCGAAGTTACAGTGGAAGATGATAGGATAAGGATGAAGGGAGTCTCGTGGCGATTTACCTGAGTTTCACGTCCTTTCAAAATATTATTTGGAAAACAATTAGTTTTTGCCAGAGCTACAAACATTGAAATTGTTTGTGCATTGACAGGGTATATAAATAACATTAAAAATAGAGGCAATTGCGTTGTAGAAATATACAAACGTAATATTGTAAAAACATTTAGTACTATAGACAATGGGTCATTAATTTTATATGTGGTGATAAATTCGAGGATTTATTAATATTTTCAAATACCACAGAATGAATTGTTTTTATGTCATAAAAGCTAGGTAAAAAATATAACATAAACTGTTATATTTTTTATTATAACCATTTTTATTTATATTTTATTAAACACATTATATTTTTTATTTGCTTTATTAAAAATGTTATGCATTTAATACTTATTTTTGGCAGTTTACGATATAACGGATTTTTAATAAACTCTTCATTATTAGTAAAGAATTTATTGGTATTTACTTACAATATTTTATATTATATAATTTTAATTTTTGATATGTTTTTAGATTTAGTTTTTAGAATACATGCTTTTACTATATTCGATGTTATATTACAGGAAATAAATAACGTGTATGAAATTTTGTATATTTGCATTGTAGTGGAAACAAAATGAATTTACTTGTTGCATTAAATTTCTATGAACTATGTTGCCATTCATATTTGTATTAATAATTTCCATCTATATTTATTATTCTAGTTAATGCTCAATTTCATCAGGGGAACTTAATTTCAAACATATTACAACTGAAAATACATTTTTATATTATATATTATACATTGGCTTTCTAAGGCATTGCCTAACTTACCTTTATTACTCGCTGACCACAAATTGCTTGTTGGACTATTCCATTTCGGTTTGTTTTCTCTAAACATAAGAATATCTGGTATTTTATTCAGTTTATTATCTCTTGGAATCACGTCTGGTGTTCTATCAACATTTACTCTTACAAATTCTCCCTTCAAAACTTTTGGTTGAGTATCTTTCAGTACCAAAGGAGGCGGAGGTGCTTTCGCTTTCTTATGAAACAGTCTCTTCCTATCAGGTTTTGCAGGAATTTCTGTATCTGTATATATTATACTATCTATTTCACCAACATCGTTTAGGTCACTCCTTATTCCAATCAGACTCATGGGTTGATCGAAACGTGAGCTAAGTCCTTTATGCTGTACAGATATATGAGTTACTCCATCATTGTCTGTTGTATGCATCAAATCGAAATCCGTCCGACCTTTGTCATTCAGATTATAATCATCAATACTTTTCTTATTCTTAAACAAATCATATGTTTTCTTCTTAGAAAACAAACTATCGCCACTTGAATAGTTGTTTGTGTTTTTCGTCAAGCGATTCCGCATTTTAAAATATTTGTATGTGAAGTAAATTCTCTTGAAATCCTGTTCGTTTTCAAATTTAAGAGCTATCGCTTCTTTATTAAGATTTTTGGTTACATAAAAGACTAGAGTTTTCTCACAATTTGGATAAGTCTCAATATTCGCACAGTTTGTTATATCATCTATGGAGATATTCTCACATTTGCTGCCTTTCAGTTCTGTGTAGTCTTTATTTACTTTCTGTTTATCATCGTCGTTACCTTCTTCTTTATTAAGGAGTTGTAGCTGGTCTTTTTCATTGAAGCCTACAATTATATTGTAGTTCTGTTGTGGTATAGATTTAGTTATGGTCATGATATCGAGCTGTTGGTTGGCATTGTGGAGCTTCTGTCGCGCCACTAGTGCAGCGAGACCGCCGGAACGGTTTGATTTTTTCACCGTCATTATGAATCTGTAACAAAAAGAAAACTACAATGTAATTTTTTATATTTATACATTGCTTAGTTGGGAATATATGTTATTTCGTTTCAACTTACTTTTTTGTAACTACCATTACATTTACAGATAAAACAAATAGAAAGAAATCGTGTCAAACAAGTCAATTCAGTTAACGCCTTGAAATCAAATATAATTGGTTTCTCACGTCTGCTTGACTCAATCCAATACTGCACATAAGTATACCCATTACTAGGGTTGACAACTTCATAACTTTTCGATTCGTACAACTTACTTCGAAATTTTAAAATCTTGTATAATATATAGATATTATACAAGATTTTAAAATTTCGAAGTATGTTATATACAATATACAAGATATTATATATATATATATAATATCTTGTATATTGTCTATCATTAAATTTTATAACGGCGAATGGGAAGGCCATTATCCCCCAAAAAGTGCGACAGTTACCAATACAGTTAGGATTGTTAATTATTATGTTGTGTCAATCAGCTAAATGTACCTTACACACAACGATATTAATATTATACGACACGATATATAATTATTAATGACATTAAACTAACTACACATTTTCACTTAGTGACTTAAATACTTATTTCATGATACACTATAAAAGTTTGTCAAAATTTTTCCTTCCGTCCTTCAAAATGTCTAATTTTTGTACAATATTGTACGAGTCTCATCTTTGGATGGGTAGCAAGCAAAAATAAAAGATCGTCCATCCGCCGGGAGACGAGGAGGTGTGTGGCATTCTAACCCACTAGAAAACCACACGGTAACACACCTACTAGCGTTTATGAAGGAAGCGTCTCGACGCTACTTCGACTCTGCCCAATCCCACCCTAATCCGCTTATAGTCAGTGCGGTCGACTACGCACCGAGGAGTAATATCCGACATACGCGACAACGTCGCCCGAGGCACGTTCTCATTGACCCCGACGACCCCATAACGGCAGGTAACCTCCCCACGGGCCCACCCGTTCCACCCCGACCACACTTTTACACACACACACGACACCGTCCTCGCCGGCGAAGACGACGACCTCAAACACACAATATCGCGCATTCAACCGGGCGCCTGCGCGCGCCCGGGCGCTCCACACCGGCGCCCCCGGGCGCCCCTCCGATCGATCCCCCGTCCAATTCAAACGGGGATCGAAATTACGACGGCCTGAGCCGAGGTTCGAACCCCTAGTGGTGCCCTCAGACTAAAGTCGTATCCGTCGGGCAGGAGTTGGCCTTCAGCCGCTCCATAAGTCCTTCCGCGGGTTTGGAGTGCCATCTGCACTCGCCCCATAACGTCCGGTGAAGCTGTAAAGGCCAGCTACGGCCAACAGCATTAGAGTAGTCCGAAAAAAAAAAAAAAAAACCTACTAGCGTCATTGCCACGGTAGGCAACCCTATCTATATTAAACGCACACTATTGAACAATTTCCGTAAATTTTCAAAAATTGAATTTGGTGTTATAATTACGTTACTTATCAACTTTCACTTGCTTTCATTCGGAATTAGTGCAAAAGAAAGGTGAAATTGCAACAACTAGACATTTTATGGTTAAAAATAAATTACCTACCTACAATGAATTAACAAAATCTTTAGATGAACAAAAAGGCGATGGTGTAGCAATAAATCATTAAACTATTGTTTGTGAATGCTTTGCCACATTGAAAGTGTAAGAACTGTATGTGAATAGTTACGTAAATTTAATATTACAAATCTTAATTACGTGCATTTCGTATTCAGTGTGTATACTAAATAAAAACGGTCGAAAAGTCAGTAGGTATATTGCGTATTTTTAGCAGGTGAGAATTCAGACTACTGAAACCTAATTAAGTTTACATAATTGGTTTGTCTGTTATACCTCATCACAAGAATTTGGATTTATGATTCGTACAAATTTTTGAAACGAGTAAATGTAGTCGATGGTATTTTAATATAGTATAGGGGTGTAATGGGGTGAAGATTGTTAATAACTACTTTGACCGACCTCCACTCGGTTCCACCTGGGAAGAACTTTTAGTAAATTTCTGTTCAAATAGCTACGATCACACTGACTAACCTGATAACTTGACTTCATTATCTATCTTATCCTATCGTCCTCCACCGGTGCCCCACCAGCGTATACCATTACTGCAGGTGGGTATACCGTTTCATTATTATTATTATTCAAAGTCATCATGTACAAAAATATGTTAAAGAGTACACTATATAACACAATTTTATAAATCTTATGTTGTATTATGTATTTTTATATTCTTATGAACATGTTATGTGTGTGACTAGTAACAAACAAATAAACGATATATCTATCTATCTATCTATCTATCTATGCATGGAGTTGCATGGAACTTAAAAGCATACACGAGATTAGAGGGGTTTTTTGTCAGGTAATAAATAAATAATAAACAGCATATTTAAATAATAATAAGCAGCAACCAAATCCTGCTTGACTACTTAATGCTCGCAAAACCTTAAAAATGTTATGGTTCTGTCAGTATAGAACATTTGTTTCAATTAATACATAATAGTTTCTAGGTGAAACTGGGCAAATTTTTTTTCTTTGATAGTACTAAAATGAAATCAATATTTATTGCAATAAATGTAGTGTTACATGGTTTTTTATGTCATTATTCTTTGTTTCACAGGTTTTGTCATTTCTGACATGCAACAGACAAAACAATGTGATTTTTAGTTCTATAAAATATATACTATATGTATCTTTTATAGTTGTATGGACATTATTTGTGTGGTTAATATCGGGAACCTACATTATATACAAATGAATAGGTCAATAAAAATAAATATTTAGAAGTTTTATATAGATTCGATTTCTGTTCAATTCATATTATTATTATTAAATGCCATAAAGCGTGGTGTTAATTGTGGTGTAACTGTTTGATACATGCTCTCTGCAAATATATATGTTTTCTATTATGAAAAATGTTTATCTATATTATCAGGTAATAACAATAGATTTTGTCGTAAGCAGTATTTGCGTGAGAGTCGCTGTAAAAACCTTGCGTTTCCGTGTACAGATGAGTAATTATCTATATTAGGAATCGTTCAAGTTATGAACTTTAAGACTTTATCATATTAGTATATATTTACATTTCTAATTTCATAAAAAATCTGTTCAATCGTTTAGTATTGAAAATGTAAGAAGTAGGCAGGAAAATAATCTTTTTGTCTTAATTGGATTTAATGGATTCGGATTTGGATTAAATCCAATGGATTGTATCACGAGAGAGAAGTCGTAAATAGGGTTATCGGAATAGTTTCTATCTAAAAAACAGATGAAGTACGAATAACAGGTAGTTCAAATATAACAATAATAATAATAATAATTCATCACAATTCACACAGCACCATCTAGTCAACTAAACAGAATTTATACTATAGTACTAAACAACTAAACTATTCACAGAAAGACAAAAATATTTTTGTAATATATTAGAAATACCCAGACCGATACATACATACACATTAAAACAATATTTACATATTGTAAGGAATTTAACCTGCGACAATGTAAAGAATGGCGATGTGCTAACTAGCTAGACCGAGACTGTTAAATGATATAAACATTGTTGTTTAGCTTTTAAACATTATCTCTGTTTAAAAGCTGAATAGCAATTTTAGTTACTGCAAAATCTAGTGCATTCTGTTTATGGGCAATAGAATGAATAGCCTGATATAAATCAACCAATGGATAGAAAATGGTAAATACTTATTAATGAAGATACAAACAGTAGCAAGGCAAAAGTGACAATTATAAATATATGACAATTCTATAAAAAAATACATTTAAAATTTATAAAAAAATAAACATTTAAAAATGTGTAAAGAGTTTGCAACACTGCAGATTAAATATTATTCATGTAAATCGCTTGTCGCTCATGACATAGGCTCCACTTCCAGGTGTTTCTAAAACAATAGTGGGAGTGTGAGATTGTGATTCACTTTACATAATATCTAGTGCATTTCCGAGCGGCGCACATGAAATGTAGGCGAACACATGAAACCGGATTACGCACATTTGTGCAATAAATCCTTATATCACACTAGCTGACCCGCGCAACTTCGTCTGCATCACACTTACTTAAATAGAAAAGAATTCAAAATAATTTATTCAAATAAACTTAATTTAAGCACTTTGAAATGGTCATAGTTATCATTTTTTTAATCTACCGTTAATATTAATTATAATAGCGTAATGTTATACAGCTTAAAGCCTTCCTCGACAAATGGACTATCCAACACAAAAATAATTTTTTAATTCGAACCAGTAGTTCCTAAGATTAGCATGTTCAAACAAACAAATAAACAGACTCTTCAGCTTTCAAAATATTAGTAACATAAGACTTCATAGTTGTTACTAAATTTCAACCCATTCTCCATTAATTTTACAAATAAGAGATAGCATATGTCCATCCTCATAATCAATACAAGATTCAATCCGACGCTCTGGTATCAAAAAGTAGCAAGCAGTCCATATTTATAATACTAAGTATGGATTAGCAACTCTCCTATCCCAAGGATCACAGGTATGCAATTATCGTATAGTGTTTATTTTGTTTTTAATTTAAATATCCATGTTTACTTGCTGATAATGAAAAATTCGTACAATATAAGTAATATAAGTATTTTTTAAATAGTAACATATATTACTGTATAAAAACATCAGTACATAAGTGTACTCGTTAAGAACACGTGTAATAACTCAATTGTACGCAAGAAACGCGGAAATATTAAGATTGTTTCTTTAAATTTTATCTGCGGAATGATCCCAAGAGTTTCTCAGGGACGACATTGTCCAATGGATTTTCCCTGCGACAACGATTCACATAATTACAACAAAAGCATGCTAATGTTCAGTGCTGCTAGACAATTGTACATAATTACAATACTTTGTTTGTAATAATCATCTGTTTCATTTAGTTATATATTTAGGTATTTAAAGAAACATTTAATTCCACGTTAAATTT